CTTTTGTTTTTGATGTGTTCATCGTCAAACCGTACTGACTCCCTTCTTGGTCCAAACGATCCAACATCTCGGACGCTTCCTCTGGCGAGCTAGTAATAAGCACAATGTCATCGGCGAAGCGAAGGTGATTAAGAAGAAAATTAGGTACCCATGCGCACACCCTCTTGACCATCCTCAGTTTATCGGACATAACTCGGGCAGCAGTTGCAGCTGGGATGTCAGACTCGCGGGGAAGCTCGACAAGGGTCCAGGCTCTGTGATCAGATTCAGCGCTTGACTTCATCCACCCTTTTTTCTTGTGCAGGATGAACATTATGGGACCATCCACGACAACAAATTTTTCCTTCTTCCTTCTTCGGGCTCCTGAACCAAACCTTCCACCTTGTATTTCGAGAACACCATTACACACAACTACTGGTCCGGCGCCGGTCGAATTTGAGCAGCGCACTTCCCTCTTATGACGTCTGATTTGAAAATCGGGCGCTGATTTTCACCACTCGGGCTTCTTTTCAATTTCTCGAGAACTTCCTCTGTGGGTAGGTTCGCCAAATTTCACAGATACACAGCTGAAGGTACTAGCCTCCAAATGGTATAGTAGCCCGCTTCCCTATCCCCTTTGCTTTTCTGCCATTCCTCTATATGTCTCGGCACTTTTGAATGGGATGACCTAATAGATCTAAAGAACGAAGTAGAGGATGTCAATGTAGTTTTTTTAGTACAATGATGAAAAGGAATGAGATGACTTGGACAGCTCAGAAGACGACTATGATGACAATCAGGAAGAACAATCATACAATGAAATGGAAGCTATTTATAATTTACAACATGACAATTACCGTTCTATGGACTGGTATTTTTCGAAAGTGAATGAAACAGTTTTAATGAACACCTTACTGCAAGCCATAGAAAATGTAGAATAAGGAAAACATTTTGAGCATATATTTAACGATCATTCCAAACGCATGGTTGGCTAGGAAGAAATTGATCCACAAAATGTGAATTTATAGGCAATACACCAAATGCGCGGGCAGTACACATGCGTGTGTATTGCTGACAATTCAAGCGGCGTTCAATGTGTTAAGCTCCAAAAGCTTTTGCAAGGCCGTAATACAGGGCGGGCCAAAAAACACTTCGACCGAGTCACATATCAGCAAAGTTTTCGCAGCCCAGAGAGATGTGGATACGAGTACCAGGGCGGAAGATACCCAAGATGTTCCTCGATAAGCAGGAGCTGGCTCTCGCCCATCACCTTCATGTACACCAAAATATGAAGTCGCAGCCTGACTGGAGAAGACCTTTGGAATTCATGTCACCTCCAAACAGCTGCGAAACTTCTAGTATGGAGTCACCCATGGGTAGCTACCTGGAGACCAGTACTCTCAATCTGGAAGACCTCCAACATCGAGCAGCTCCGACAACGTCGCTACGGTCTAGGACATCATCTTCACCGCAGTCGCCAAGGCGCGGGTTGATGGTATGGACCGGACGTACCTGGAATGGAAAGACCAATATTTTCTTCGTGGACCCCGGACTGAGCGCTGGCGGTTACATCGAGCAACTCGAGAAGAATATCCTCCCCACATGTCGTCGCCCGTACCTTCTTGGAAACTTTGTACTGCTACAGCATTGGGTGCCACCACGTGGAATCGAAGGGCGTTGGAGAAACTCTCGCCTACTTGGAATGGAAGGGGGCTGAGTACCTAAAGAAGATGGAATATCCAAGTAGGTCACCTGACCTGAATCCCCTCAGTTACCTCGGTTCGGGCGCGTTCAATAGGGTGGTCTACAGTGGTGGA